AACCAATAAGGAATTTTATCACTGACAAAAAGTATTATCAGTTCTTTAGAAGCCCTAAATCTTTTAATCTAGCAGATGTATTAATAGCTTTATAATCTGTACAACTGGTTTTCAACAACTCCAAAACAGGATGAATTCTAACAAACAGCAATGCTCTAGATTAAGAAAGACAACAACCAACTCACACGTATGCTCACACACTCTGACACAAAGCAGTGGTTGTGCCTCTAAAAGGCTAACAGGAAGCCAGCTAGGCCTTTCTTCTACTTCCTGCCAAAATATGCAATCCTCTCAGACACCCACCCACACAGGCCGGCAGGAAAAGAGATGTATCCACACCAGAGAGTCAACTCACACTGCCAAGGGGAATAGCTGGACTTTTGCTACTGAATAGATATATCTGCTTACCAATTTTCTACAGGGCTGAAACCACTGACAGATAAGAAGGGATGGGAAAAACTCCCAACACAAGCTCAAAGAAACCAGAAGAAAAACCTAATTAAAAGACTCTTAAAAATAAATAAAATACTTTTTTAAAAGGGGGGGGGTGGTGGTAGAGAGATGCCTCAGCGGTTAAGAGCACTGACTGCTCTTGCAGAGGACCTGGGTTCGATTCCCAGCACCCACATGGCGGCTACGAACTGTCCTTAACTCCAGTTCCAGGGGAATCAGAAGCCCTCTTCCGACCTCCGCGGCATTGCACAACAAGGGTGCACTCACATACACACAGGCAGTACACTCATACACATAAAATAAAAATAAACATTTTTTTAAAAAAGACTTATTCTATATCTAAGAAGAGGATATATCTTATCTCCATCCTGCAATGACTTATAAATGTCTGCAACTTTAGAATATGATTATTTTAAACTTTTGCTATAAAATATATTGAAACAAGAAAATGTTTTACCTTTTTAATATATGGATTAAAATATATAACACTATTAGGAAAAATAGAGATTTAATCTTTATTTAATGAACATGTTCATCCCTTTCATTCCTAGGTAGCTAACAGGTCTCAGTAAGTCAGCTGAGCCATCATGTCAAGAAAAGGAAAGAATATCAAATTTCCATTCTAGCAGTAAAAGCTATGGAAATGAAGCAAGTCAGTTGGAAGCAAACCAGACCGAGTGTTCAGGTGTCCCATAGCCTCAATGGTGCCAGGCCTGCCAGGATGCAAGGTGATTCCTACAATTCCCTTCCAGAAAGGTGTGAGAGGAGCACTAAATAGGAGTGGGGAGACTGCCAACAGTTCCCATCATCCTCACAAAAGAAAGGTATGAGGTCAGAAGCACCCTTCTAGAACAGACCCAGAATTCAGAACTGCTACAAATGCAGTCATTGCTTTTCACTCAGTGGGGGAGAGAGCTGTTTTCACCAAAGAAAAATCACCTGCTATATTACCTCCAAACTCCAAGACAGCTCCTTTTCTAATTCCCTCAATCCAGAACAAGTGGTAGAAAGTATTCTTGATAATCTGTGCCAGTGATTCATGTGCTGCTTTCCCAGGCTGAATGGGCTATGGCCAGAGCCTTCCAGTCAGCAAGGGTGCAGAGTCACTGTCCAGCAGCTCCTCAGACCCCTGCCCATGCCTCCAAAGGATCCACTTCATTTCAAGGAAAGAGAACCCAAGCCTGCAAGTCTCTCTCTATGCTAAAAAGAAAAAGAAGATCCATTCTACAGCAAACAAGAGTGTGCGCGGAACTGATTTTTGTAAAGAAAGATTTCAATGGGTGTTATTTTCCTTAACAACCAAACATAACACCAAAGTTGTTTAAGCAAGAGAACAGATATAAAGCATATTAAGAGCTTATAACTTAAATATCTTGAATCAAATGACAATCAAAATGACACCTTTATTTTCAACTTTTTAAAAACATTTACTTATTTGGCAGGATCTGACTATGTAGTCCCAACTGGCTTGATAGTAGGCCAGGATAGCCTTGAACTCACAGAGATCCACCTGCCTCTGCCTCCCAAGTGCTGGATTAAAGGTGTGCACCACCAAGCCTGCATTATCCTGAACATGGTACGCTGCCACCAAATGCTTAAGATCTAGTGTATTTTTAAGGGTTTCATGGATTGAGTATTTCTATTTTCTATCTACAATCTAACATGGGCAACCTTTAATTTTTTTTAAAAAAAAAGGATCTCATTATGTAAGTAAGGCTGGCTCTGGCAGCTCTTGCACAAGGCTAGGTTCAGTTCCTAGCACCAACGTGGTGGCTCACAACTGTTCCTAACTCCAGTTCTAGAGGATCTGATACCCTCTTCTGGCTTCTGCAAGCACCAGGAATGCACATAGCACATTTACATATTATGCAGGCAATACACTCATACACATAAAATAAAATCTTATAAAATATTCTGGGTCTAGAGTGGGGGGGGGTTAAAGTTAAAGAAATTTTTTTTAAAGAATCCATCCTTTTCACAACACCAAAAACGCATGCATGAAATGCAAAAACCTGACATTTAATTTCGATAAAAGATGTTGATTTTCTTCCAGCACAGGTTAAAAAAAATATATGGAGAAAGCAAAATCTTTTAAGTTTGCTCTTTTTTCCCAAATGCTAAACATTTAAATAAAAATGAAACCACAAAATAACAGAAATCCTCTTCAACACTTTATCAGTAAGTTCCTTAGGTGAATGCTAATGTATTCTGAATGAACTATTAGACGACTCTGATTCCTGGAGGCAGCATTCCAAACAAGAAAGGCTAAAAGTCCTCCAGCAGTAAAAGAAGCTTTTTATAACATGGAAGTAAAATGATGTAAGCCATATTTCTGTCAAAAATGATATAATATGATCTCTAAGACCCAACACTGAGTCACAGAGGAAAGGCACAATGGTGCTTCTGAGGCGGCTCCAAGTGACCCAGGTACTGTTACAGAGGATGGTTGTGGTCAGTTCTGAAGAGATGTCTCTTCTGTGACCACTGCCACCAATGGAAGCAGAACGACAAAGCCGCTAGTGTAGAGGACCCAGAAGGATGCTCTGTAGGCCGACAGCTGACCTGCTACAGTGCAGAAGAAAAAAATACACAGATTCAGTTGACCAAAAGCATGCACCCTGACCACGTGCTGAATAAAGCTATTGAAGAAACTGCTCATGGGTGACAGTCCTGCACATTCTATACCTCCACAGGATGCAGACGGGACAGAAAGAGAGCTGAGTGACAGAGCAAGAAGCTGAGGAAAGAGTTTTGGCAAGCAAAATAAAACGTCTCTGTGTAGATGCAGACTCAGCAACCATTTGAAGGCTAGCGTGTTTTATTACATATCACTGGAATGCTTACTAACAGATCTTTGACAAGTGTCTATGAACAAATTACAGCTCTTTCACTGACTCAGGATGTATTCGAAACTCCTTTGTGATTTTAAAGAACAGCACACAGCATCTGCATGCTCCAAAAGTTAAAAAGCACATGAGTCAGGCATGGTGACACATGGCTGTAATACCAGCATTTGGGAAGTGGAGGTAGGAGGTAGCAAGCAAGCCAGCCTTGGCTGCATCAAGTTCAGGGCCAGCCTCAGAAACATAAGTCTCCTCTCAAAAAAAGAAAACAAAGGCAGCCAAACAAAAAGCATACCCCCCCCCACCCCACAAAGAAGTCACATGATATGCATGTGATAGAACCACAGATTCATGGGAATAACACAAAGTGAGAACAGCAGTTTCCTGGGGGCAGAGAAAAGAAATAGGAGTTTAAGTGTTCTGTTCTTCTTCACACTGGTTTTCTGCTGGAAATACCCTGATTAATTTTTTAAGAACAGTAAGAAGGATTAGAAGTAGGGGTACAAGCTGGTCTAGGAAAACACAAACAGCCTTGTCCTGCCCAGTGCACATTTTTCAAGTTTCATGCCTACAGTCTTAGACCCTTTTCAGCATTTGTGGCCCAAGGAAGTTATGAGGCAAAAACTTTGGGTGAAAAAAAAGAGAATCTGAAAGTGATATATTTTATTCCCATGTTTGCGCATACTAACAACCAGCTAACTCCCTGCTAGGAACGAAGAGGGTGCCAGTCAACACCAACACACTGTGCCAGTTTAACTTAATGGTATTATTCTGCCTTGCTTCGCAATTACTCCCACATTCCCTGGGGAGAAACTAATGGATTACTAAAAATAAAATGGAGATTAAGTGAATCACTTCGGATGTTTTGGCTCCCAACTCAATCTGGCTTTAATATAAAGGAAATGAATTGGCACAAATACTAGACGTCCAGAAAACGGACAGGCTTCAAGGCTAGTTGCCCTGGATTCTGGACTCTGTCCTCCACCCTGTGTGGTTTCTTGCCCAGGCTGGGAGCCAGCAGGCCACAGTCACACTAGACCTCACACCACACATAATACCATCCAAGAGAAAGCAGCTTCCTGGAGCTCGGCCCTACATATGAGAAGACTTCATCTACAAGCACCAGACACATCTGCCACAGGGTCTCACTGGTTAGAACAGGCGTATAGGACTGTCCCTGACCATCCCCCTGGTCAGGCAGCATCCCAGAGTAGCCAAAGGAGCCAGAGTTGGTGAAGCAATTGTGCACAAGGCAGGATGGGACTGCAGCTCATCAGGACCCACCCTTGAATTTACAGCCTGTTTCTCAAACCCGTGACACAGGGAAATAGATGGGATGTGTGATGTGGATACAACCCTCATGTCCACTCTGCTGCCATTTACGGGGAGCAGTCCAGGCAAATAATGTGCATATTTGAAAGAGATGACTATCAGGATATATCTGTATATAAAACTAAAGACTCAAAACACAGGTGTGCAAATGAATTGATTCCTTTGAGGAAATGAAATTAAGTTTCTTCTTATTTTTATATTTTTATCTCTCCACTCAGAAAATTGAAGCAGAAATGCCAGGAGTGTAACTATGTGGCGGACACTTGCCCAGCATGCAGCTAGGGGCTCCATCCCCAGGGAGGGGACAGGAAGAGATTCGAACACAGGGGTTAACACTGTGTTAAGTATGTGAAGTGTGGCATGGTCACTTACTATATTCTCCTGCCATGGCTCCAGCAGCTTAAGACAGTAGCAGCAACCACACTAGAAATGCACAATCTGTTAAAAAGCATAAGAAATGTTGCTTATATAACTTTAACAGTCTTACCTTTTCTGAAAGGACAAGCCAGTCTTCTTGAAGAAAGCAGCTACAATTAGGTTAAAAGTGGAGATATCTACAGTATTAGAGCATCATAAATATCTCTGAGATTATCTGCATCAACTGTAGATCTTTCTTTTTAAATTTATTTTTATCTATGTGTATGTGTCTATGTCTATGTATGTGCACATGTATTCAGTGACTATGGTGGTCAGAAGAGGGCCCTGGATCCCCAGAAGCTCGGGTTAAAGGTGGTTGTGAGTCACCCAATGTGCGTGCTGGAAATAGAACCCAGGTCTGAAGTGCTGCAAGTGCTTTAACCTCTCAGTAATCTCCCCAGCCCCAGGTTCAAAATGTGCAACAGGTTTAATCAAGTGATATTGCCCTGGACTCCTACAACAAAGAGGGGAAAATGCTGCATGGACCTTGAACATTATGTAGCTTTAAAAAAACAAAGGGTTAGAGAGATGGCTCAGAGGTTAAGAACACTGGCTGTTTTTGCAGAGGACTTAGGTTTGGCTCCCAGCACCCATGTGGTAGTTAACAACTGTCTGCAACTGCAGTTCTGGGGAAATTCGATGCCCTTTTCTGATCACAGCAGCATTGCACAACACAGGTGCACTTACATACATGCAAGCAATACACTCATACACAGAAAATAAAAATAATCACGTATTTAGAAGAAAACATAAAAAGAGCTTGTAGCTTGACCCCCACAATATACAATTAACCTACGCAGTCTGATGTAACATAAAGCTAGATAAATCAGCTTCAATTTCTAAATCTCTAAACTCAAGAACCTAAGGAAGTAGTTCTCAGCAGAAAAATAGTATTCTGATTCAAGTATTTACACTCTATCATCTTACTTCATAAAATCTTTGAATATTCAGCAAATTATGGAATGCTGAGCAACACATCCACAGAATCAAAGACTGTAGATATTGAATAGCTTTTAGTATTCTCAAATGAAATCTAAGAGTGTTTCCCCTGCCCAAACCCCAGAACAAGTAACGGTACAACAGCTGAAGCCCAGTGTGGGGAACACTGTGCCTGTGCCCCAGCCACTTGGGAGGCTGAGGCGGGAGAATTACGTGAACCTGGGAGTTTGAAGCTAGCATGGGCAACACAGTGACAAACATAGGAAATGTATTAATAAAATCATCAAAAAACACAGGAAACCACACTCTCAATTTTTTATTTTATTATTTTACGTGTATGAGTATATTGCCTGCATGTATGTGAGTGCACCCGTGTCGTGCAATGCAGCGGAGGTCAGAAGAGTGCTTCAGATTCCCCTGGAACTGGAGTTAAGGACAGTTCGTGGGTGCTGGGAATCAAATCCAGGTCCTCTGCAAGAGTAGTCAGTGCTCTTAACCACTGAGCCATCTCTCCAGCCCCCACACTCTCAATTTTAAAAACCTTGCAATGATAAGTTTTAAATGTCAACTTGTCACAGCCAAAACTCAACTGAAAAGAGAGTTCCAACTGACGAACTCTTTAGATCAGGTTGGCCTATGGGTATGTCTGGAAGACTGTCTTCATTGATAATTGATATAGGAAGATCCAGCCACTGTGGGCAACAGCATTCCCTGGGCAGGGAGTTCTGCACTACATAGGATACCAGAGCAGAAGCAGGAAGCAGGGGGACATCCATTTCCCTTCTCACACTGTGGGTGTGATGTGATTAGCTACTTTCATTCATGCCTTCACTTCCCATTAATGATCAACCATAACCTGGAACTGTGAGTCAAAATGATCCCCTTCGTCCTCTAAGTTGCTTTTGGTGAGGGTGTTTCATCACAACAGAAATAAAACTAGTGCAGACCTGAAAACAAAATTTTAAGACAATGGTGCTTCCTGGTAGTGGGTACGTCTTCTTGCATTAGCAATGGCACTTTAAAAAGCAAGTTTGAACAGCTGTGAAAGGAGGCAAGGTGCAAGCTTCAGAACAGAGTATTTGCAACAGCTATATCTACTACCCAGGAACCCATTCCAAATATATGAAGAACTGCCACAAAGCAAGACAAACAATGAAAGAGAGGGGCATCAAATTGGCCTGCATGCATTTGCATACGCACCCAGACTATCCACCACCATCAGAACACAAGTAAAAGCACGATGGTATTATGTTCCACTTGGGGAAATTCAGCAAGGTATACACACTGGTCAAAATGGCTAGAACTTAGACCTCAAGCAATATCAAGTATGAACTGAACCCCTCCCCCACAAAAAAATGCCTGTCTTAAGATTTCACAAAGCTGATTGATTAGAATTTTGTGATTGTGGAGAGTTGGAATATTAAAGATAAAAAAAAACCTCTTGGGCTACCATTAGTCCCCTCAATAACCACCTATCACCCACCTCTGTGTCTGATCCAACTTGGAATGTATATTAATAGACCGGTAGCTTCCACTAGCCCCAAAGCTAAGAATGTTAACAGAATGTTAAAATCTGAGACCTACAGCAAAGATTTTGCCTCTCTGCTACAATCAACCTTCCCGAAGTTTCCAGCAATGCATTTGAAAAATACCTTGATTTATTACTTTCCTTTGTTTTGTCAAACTTAATAAAACTGTTACCACACTGGAACATGTTACTTGAGGCAAACTGAATCGGTGTTCCTGAGCCATGGCCACTTGGTATCTGACTCAAGAATAAGCTATTTTATCTTTCCCTTCCCTCTTCTCACCCTGAGGTGAGAACTGTGTTCATGTTATGTCAACAGTCTCAGGATGGCAACAACTTAATTCTCCTATGCTGCTGGTGGTTGTGGAAACTAGAAAACTGTTTGATAGCATCTAATAAAGCAGAATACAAACATACCCTGTGGTCCTGGGTAACCGCCTGCTAGGAATACACATGCATAGATCCCTAAGATACTTAAAACTATCCCAAGAACCATTATTAGTAAAGGGCAAAATATGGTAATAAACCAAGACACAGTTAGACACTGGAATATTAAAAAAGAGGAATCAATCAACTCTCTGTAAAAAGCAAAGAGTATGCTATGCTTTCTGCCTATAAGGTCTCTATCCCATCTCTTCTACCTGGCCTGCCTCTGAAGTATAAAAACAGTCAGAGACAATGTGAATTTGGTTGTTCCAATAACATTTTATTTGCAACATACAGGCTATACCCTTGCCTGCTACAGAGCAAAGGAAACAAACGAACCAGAGCAATACAATACTGATGAATATCACATCTCCCAAATGTAACACTGACACAGGAATCCACACACAAGAGAACATACTACACAATTCCTTTCTATAAAGTTCAGAACAGGTGAGGCTAGGGGGAGGTAGCAGCTAATACTGGATTCCCGAAATTCAGAGGTATCTTCACAGTTATGTTTTATGTGGGAAATGTCACCACGGTATTTATGATTCGCCTGTCTTCATTCTGAATAGGAGTAGCACGTCTTAACAGTTGTCATACATAAGGAACATGGACCGCATCACTTAATGGATGCTTCATTATAAGGCCAACAGTGATGCAGTAGAGCCTGTGCTCCCCCAGCAGTCTCCTGAAGCCCCATCTTCGTCAGTGTGAGGTCTACACTGAACCATCTCCCAAGTTGCACACAGGATTCTGGAGAAGGAGGTGTGAGTGCAGAAAACCCTGAAGTGGCAGGAGGTAATGGCCATACAGAGGGGAAGAGTGACAGACGGGCAAGCGAAGAGACCCAGGATAAGGCCCTGCATTTCCACAATCTGCTGAACAAGCCCATCAGAATAGAAAGCACCACAAGCAGCTCAGAAACACAATTTCAGAGGCCACTGATCTTGCTTAAAATTAGTGACAACTGGGGATGGAGAGTTGGCTCAGTGGTTAAGAGCACTGACTGCTCATGCAGAGGACCCAGGTTCGATTCCCAGCACCCACATGACGTTCCAGGGGAATCCGAAGCCTTCTTCTGACCTCCGCAGCATTGCACGACACGGGTGCACTCACATACGTGTAGGCAATACACTCATACATATAAAAATAAAAATTAAAAAAAAATTAGTGACAACTTTAAAGTATACTAAGACTTATAAAGAACTGTTGAAGGAAATGCATTTCCAGTACAATAATTTCTTCCAATCCTAACACATTAAACTTAGTTTCAATTTTTCAAGTAAGAAACAAACTAGGTCCATAATACAATCTTGACTTTCTAGGCCTGCTTGCTTTAAACAATTTCTGTATCTTGAGATAGTCTCATCAGAAAGAGTGGTAATATATTTCACCACTTTCAAGTTTTAATCCAATGTTATACTTTTCAGGGGTCATAGAAAGTCATTAAGTTATCAGGGTGGCAAAAAAAAATGATTGAGAGGCGCAGATGATGCAGCAGAAGGGACAAGAGTTCACAGGGACTAGTGCACAGATTTACACTCTGCTCCTGGGGGCTCTGTCAGTGAAATGAAAAGGGGAGGAAAGAAAAGAAAATCCCTGAAAGGAGGCAAAATCTGTTCACTCTACTGCATAACTGACACCTGCAAGAAGCTGGAATGTGCAAAGCTGCAGACAGAGATTGAGACCCTGTCTTATAGGAGGCCCTGGTTCAGAGAAGCTGGCCAATGCTCTGTAATGTCATAGATGCTACAGAGGTACAAGTGCCATGAGAATGTCAATGGAGGGAATGTGAATGGCGGGAGGGAACCATTCACACCAGAAGGAGAGAGAATGGGAAAGGAGAATTGCCACAGGGGAAGAGGGGATGATTCTGAATTGTGAATGATTATAGAAGGGCAAAGTAAGAACCCTGGGGAGAGGAACCAGGAATGAGAATGGAATATAAGTAAAAGATGGGGCATGTCACATCTCCAAGCTTTTCATACTTTTGATATTTACTGTCATGGTAATGTTTAACAAATATAAATTCAAGTAATTTCTGAGCATGGTCATATACATGTTTCAAGTCCCAGCACTTGAAAACCAGGTAGGAGGATCATGTGAGTCCAGAACTGTGAGTCCA